CCCCCGGCAAAGAATTCATCCGAGTAGGCAATGGTGCTCATTTGCGCGTGGAGTGTGTGGGTTGTGTCAATCTGGCATTCCACATGGCAGGAGTCCGCTCGGGAGAAGTGGATTTTTGTGTCCAATTGACAGACGTGTACGTAGTGCCAGGAATTTCGTTCAACTAGTTCTCTCTACACCAAACGCAGAAGAAGCACAGGATAATGTTGGATGAGGGGTGTGCACCTTTTCGGCGGTCGGCTTAGTTTCGCATATTCGGATATCGGATGCTCTCTATCGGCCACCCGCTTGCCCCCCTCGTACCGCGACGGTGATGTAATCCCCTCTACCGTTGTCCCTCCCCCCGTTGTCCGCCAAGCGTCTCCGCCTGGCGTTGGCACTGGCCTTTTCGCCCAAAACCCCCCTCCCCCTTCTCAATTTTCAGGATCGGGTGCAGGGTACGGTCCGAGTTCGAGCTTCCCGTCCATCGGTACTGCCGGTGTTGTACCTTCGACTTCGAGCTTCCCGTCCATCGGTACTGCCGGTGTTGTACCTTCGACTTCGAGCTTCCCGTCCATCGGTACTGCCGGTGTTGTACCTTCGGCTTCGAGCATCCCGTCCACCACTTCCGGTGTAGTACCTCAGAGTGATGTTTCCCCGTCTATCGATGTTGATGTAGTGCCTACGTCAATCCGAGATTTTCAGCCTGCCCTAGCCGCAGCCATCGCCTCATCCGACGTCCTGTCCCCCTCAGTCGTGAACCCGAATGTGTCGCGAGAGATAGAGATCATGCCCCTTGAGTCCCAGGATAATTTGCTTTTGATGGACATCAGTATGTTCTTGGATGTAGGCTTGATGAACGGACAAGACTCGGTCCCACCGGGTGACTTTTATCCCGACCCATTAGGCGTGTGTGAGTCCGTGAAGCCCCCCGTTGCGTTCGCTGTGATGCAAGATGAGTTGGACGCGCTCAAAAACTTCGTTGCCGAGTGCCGTGTGAAGCAAGATGTAGGTCCCCCCTCCCTTTCCCATGCTTTGGCGATTATCGCCCCCGGTGGTCCAGCGTTCACTGTAGGAAAACCCACGTCCACCATCGACATTAATTTGTTCCACGCTTCCACCGGCCACGTGAATGAATTTTTGATGCGGGAAACCGCCAAGCAGCAGGGTGTTCAATTGGTGGGGGAACTGCAGCCATGCGTCGGCTGCATCGAGGCGAAGGGCAGGAGGGCCCCGGTGCCGCGGCGTGGAGTCACCCGCGCGGCGGTACCGTTCGGCAAGGTGCACATCGACATCACCGGCCCGTACTCTGAGGCGTTCGATGGTTCCCGTTACCTGATTATGTTCGTGGACAGTGCGTCGCGGTGGCAACGGGCGTACGGCATGCGGGCCAAGAGCGACACCCTGACGTACACGCGGCGTTTCCTCGCCGACCTGAACGGCAACGGCCCTCTGGGGTGTTTCCGCATGGACAACGCGGGGGAGTTCACGAGTGCTGCCTTCGTCGCGTTCTGCGACGCCGCTGGCATCCGGCGCGAGTACACCGCGCCCGACACCCCGAAGCAGAATGCGGTCGTGGAAAGCGCCATCTGGCGAGCCATGAAGGGGGGCCACGCCGCCCGCCGCCACGTCCTCTCCATGGGCCACTTCGACCTCGCCTCCATCCCCGGTATGGACGCCAACGGACACCGGCTGTGGCTTGCATCGGCGATCTGGGCCTCCGGCTGCTTCAACCGTTCCGCGACGTCGGCCAACCCGGCCTGGATGTCGCCGTTCGAGGCCTTCTTCGGACGCAAACCGCCGCTCAAGGTCGTCCCCTTTTTCCAGGAGGGGATGATGCGCGTGAAGCGCGCCAGCAAGGCGGACGTCCAATCCGTTCGTTGCTTCTACCTGCACGGAGCGCGCAACCACTCCGACGCCACTGCCGTCGTACTCCGCGCCGACACCGGAAGGATCTGCCTGTCCAACAACGTCGTGTGGATCAACCGCCGCACCGCCGTGCCGGCGCCGGTACCGGCCAGCGGGGGGGGTTCTTCGGTCACCGCGGCGCCCTCGCCGGCCGCCGCCGCTCCTACAGCCGCTGCCGCACCGCCACCGCCATGGACATCGCGGACGTACACCCACACCCCGCCCACAGCGACTACCGCTACGCAGCCGCCCGCTTCACCGCCGCCAGCTTCTCCGTCGATCTTCACAGAGTCCGGAGCTCCGTCGCCGATCTCTACGGCGTCGTCGAGTGCACCGCCGTCCACCGGAGCCACGCCGCCCCGTCCACCGGCGACACCACCGCACGCAAGCGCCGCCGCTCCCGCTCCCCATCACCCGCCGCTTTCACAGCGAGCCGTCAGAGAGTTGGGC